AAAATGGGAAGTGGGAAGCTCAGTACACCGACGAGAAAGGCAAGCTTATCCACATCGCACTCTTCGACGACGAGGAGGCGGCGGCCCGCGCCTACAACGCCAAGATCGCCGAGCTCGGCCTGAATCGGAAGACGAACCCGGAGGTCGGCGGCGCGCTCGTCGAGAAGCCGGGCATGTCGTCCGAATTCCACGGCGTCGCCTGGTACGCACAAACGGAAACGTGGCAGACCCAAGTGACCCGCTCCACAAAGTGCGGCCTCGACGGCAAAAAGCAGCACCTCGGCTACTACGACGACGAGCATTCCGCGGCGCTCGCGGCCGACGCCTTCCGCCGCGTCGCGACGCCGGGCCACGAGCCCCACAAAATCAATTTTCCCACGCTCCCGGAGCTCAGGAAGGAACGCCTCAAGACGCCCATGCGCGTCATCCTCACGCGCGACTCCAACGGGACGCGCCGGACGATCCGCGGCCGCCTCACCAAGGTCAAATACGACCCGTCGGTGCAGAACCGCTCCGCGTGGTCGTACCGCGTGGACTTCGAGGGTCACGAGACGGAAGCCGCGGACCTCGGACTCAAGAAGCGCCTCTGGGACACGCTCGTCGGCGACGACTCGAAGTTCGTGAGCTGCACCTTGGCGCCCGACGAGAAGAAGAAGACGCGCGCGCGCGCGTAAGCAGTTTTGTGACCTCGATAGAGGCCTCTCGATCGATGCGGAAGCCGACGTCTATCTACGATTCGAATTAGACGTCCCTCCTCACCCTGTGAAGAGTACATTTCGCCCACTGTTTCCAGACGAGATGAAGCCGAGCTCGTGGACGCGCGTCATGTCGCCGTGGAGCCGGTGGTTGTCCCACCGATTCCGCGCGGTCCAGAAGAGGTCCCATCCCGCGACGTCGCGCATCTTCGCGAGCAGGTCGTGGAGCTTCCCCGCGTCGCCCCGGGGCCGGTAGAGGTGGATCTCCAAAAGGAGCTGGTCCGCGATCGCGAGGAGCGCGCTGCTCGCGAGCCACTCCGCGAGCACGTCCCACTCGGCGCCCTCGACGTCCATGCGCAGCACGGTCACAGCGTCGTGGCCGTGGCGCGCCATCATGTCCGCGAGCGTCTCGACCCGGTAGCGGGCCCGGCCGCCGTAGTTCGCCGTCGACGCCGCGCCGCGCGTCTCGAGCTTCGTCGCCGCGCCGATGCCGATGGGCTCGAAGGTGTGCCGCTCGGGGTGGCGCTTGTGGTCGCCGCTCATCGTCGGGTCGAAGCTAAACACGCGGCAGCCCTTGCTCAGCATCAGGTCGTCGAAGAGCCAGTTGTTCGCGATGCCGATGGAGTAGACGACGCAGGGCTCGTTCCGTTTGAGGAAGTCCATGCAGACATGCACGTCGGGCTCGTTCTCATTCTCGCCCTTGATGACGTGCGCGTCCGCGCACCGGCTCGGGTCGACGGCGTGGAGAAACCTGCGCGCGTCGGCAGATGACCCAAATCCCTCAGCGTCAGGTC